AGAACATGGAAGTATCCACTGCCACTACATGGAAGTATACACCTTCAAAGACCGAAAATGTGACACAGTATATTTCCGTGTTCTAGCGACAGATCATTCCCATTTCGCTCACCCTATGGATGGAAAACTCTCTCTCTCTCTCTCTCTCTCTCTCTCTCTCTCTCTCTCTCTCTCTCTCTCTCTCTCTCTTGCGCGCGCACTGACATTTGCATCTGCCAGCTCCTTGGTCCACACTCACACCGGGATTTCTTTTCAATGTATCTGTCCGTCGCGGTGTATCTTCCTATGTTCTTGTGGAAGATTCCTTCTCATTTTGCACATTGGCAGGCTGCTCGGTTGATGCACACATGAAACTGCGCAATTGCAGACGTGAGTTCGAATCCAGCGGCGACCACAATAAAATAGTTCTGATTTACAAAGGATCCGACGGCGTGCTGATGCATTGGCCGATGCCACCCCAAATGCTGCACGTCCCTCATGTTCTAACACGAACACCCTCCATGTCGGCCCGGCCAGATAATGGCCGTGCCTGGGATGGGGCTGGCACTGGGCCGCGGCCGGTTCACTTGTGTAACTAACGATGGGATGCGATGACTTGGTGTAATGCAGTTGCACGGTGGTTGGCACGTTTGATCGGTTGTTGGGGGGGCCTGCTTTTAACAGTCATGCTTGCAACAGGACTGTTTTTTTTTTTTTGCTTTCCTTTAATGAGGAGACAGTCTAGGGATATATCCACTGGTGACCGGCCCCAGGTAACTCCAGATTATTATTGTTATTGATATTGTTGTGGACGATGTTTCACTGGTGATGGTCTATTGAACTTCTATCATGACGGTATTCAGAGTGCATGATTTCTCTTGGGCGTATCGTGTGACTTGAGGGTCTCAACCCTGACAGGCATCGTGATTTAGCCATGGATGGCAGCTGAGATGATATCTTGGTACTGACTACAATTCAACCAGTTCTTTTATTGGGTATGTCCCGACCCGCTTTGCCAGTAGGACCTGAGCAGGCCTTTCCCTCCACATACTTGGCACCGCACTTGTTCAGTGGGCCACTTCCCCAGATCTCTCTACCAGCCTTCATGCGCCCGCATAGCTAAGTGTTACAGGGTGTGACACGACTCACCGCAGCGAACTGACCAGCGTCGTTCTGGCCTTGGCCAACTGAAAAGTGATGCCAGTGCACGTACGCAGTGCCACTCAGGCATGAAACCTACCGAAACTGAGGTAGCTGACGGGACCGGGGCTGGAGTTATATTTTTGGTTCTCTTTTTTCTATTTGACGTTTGGTCGAGGACTAAAGCCGTGGCCTAGCTCTCCCGAACCTGGTTTCCCCTTCTCTGGAAACAGTGTAGGTCGAATGGGACACCCATGCAACTCTTAGTAAACAGATCATGAGTTCAAATCCGGATGGAATCAGATAATGCAATACAGGCATGAAACCTACTCTGAGCGAGCTGACGAGACCAGGGCTGGAGTTCTGTTCTTTCTTCCCCCTTTTTTTTATTATAGCATGACCGCTGTGCAATCATACAAATTCAGAAAGTGGCAGAGATTACAGTACCATGGATTGTTAAGAGGATACTCACTGTAGATAATGAAGATCGGAGGTTAGCAGCTCTTAATCCGTGCTACAGGTAGTAGAATCTCAGCCACTGCACCATGTAAACATGAAGAAAATAATAACTGATTGCTGCGGGGGGCAGTGGGTGGGTTTCAATTGAATTCGAGATCGTAGCCGGGAGACCATGCACATATTGCGGTGTGCCTGCCTACGGGGGCCAAGTCCCACTTGCAATAATTCTTCGTTTCAGGCTGCTGATCTCTGTAATGTACAGCCGGAAATGAACTCGGGGGTATACCAACCCTCTAGCACCTGGACTAAGGAAAGGCTGAGGCGGTTGTTAACCACCAGCCGTGATGTCAAAGATCGTGTGTGCATAATGAAGATGTTTGCGGCCCCATGGGAGAGGGGCAGTGGCAGTGGCAGTGTTGTATGACGTAACTCCTCTGGAGCACACTGCACATTATCATTCGAGGGTGCAAGCTGCGATGTCAACTGGCTGCACCGGTGTAATTGACTCTGGATGTTGTTTGGGGGTTGTTGGGGCGGGCACATAGGGAGAGGACCTGTGTGCTCTCTGCAGCAGCGCCTTCCACAGCCTTTGGTGAATTCCATTGCCAGTTCTGTTTTTTGAAACCTGTTTGGAAGGTTAAACTTACCCAGGCTAAACCTACCTGCTTCAGTTGCAGGAGCTAGCAACCCGTGTGTGAGGCTGCTGTCAAGCTTTGGACCTCGATCTAGCTGCCTGCCAATGGATGTCCTGGTTCAGTTCTTAGAACCTTGTCCTTATGATCTCCCAAGTGGAGTTGGTTTTAGGTGTTCTTGAGTGCCGTCTTCGTGGTTGCCTGCCGTCTGCAGTGTGCCTGTCGAAGGTTTGTTATGCAGGAGAGTGCAATTGTTCTCTTTTGCTGGATGATGGGGGGATGGATGTGTTGAGCACTTTCTCAAGCAGGGTAGAGCACTTTCTGAAGCAGGGTACTGGGAAGTGCCGAAGCTTGCACATGGCAAAGAGCCAGCAACTCTGCCCCCCCCCCCC